TTGGATGCGATTAATCGCGATTAATCGTTTGACAGCACTTATGTTTATTCATATTTAAAATGGCTGTTCGGCTTAATATTTTTGTGGAAACCATGATGCTTTGATAAATAGAAAGTTTAAAAAATAGCATAAATGTCTTTACTATCACTTTTGATCCGTTTAATGTATTCTATTAATGCAGCTATCAATATCTTTAAAAGTAACAGTTATCTGATGTATTCTTTTGGTAATTTAAGTGTGCTTACCTGTCTCATCCACCTCATATTTCTCAATAAGCTTCTTTGCATGCTCCAAAGACACTGGCTCCTTCTGCTCTTTCTGGAGAAAGTTCAACAGGTCGCTGGAGCTCATCTGTCCATTAGTACTAGCGTACTTCCCATAGATCGCATCCATTTCCTCACGGTAAGTCAGTAAATCGTAGAAGTGTTTAATCTCAGATCCCTCCAGAGTGCCCGAGTTTGATGTGTCACATTTCTGCAATATTAAATTCAATCAATCAATAAAACAGTTCTGTAGGACAGTTAACAGGAGACCCCAACAACAACTTTTTTTTTAATATTTCAGCAGACTTCAATGAGCCAGTGAGCTCAAAAGCAATTTAAACAGGTTGTTTTATTTGGTATTGTGTAGATAAATTGTAGACTCATACATAATCCTGAACAGCAGTGATTTAAACAAAACAATTGCTATAAGCTTCTCCCACAAGTTGAAATGCAAACAATAGATTTATGATTTGCCTCTCACCTTGAAAAGCATCTCAGCGTAACTGTCGTCCACCTCGATATTGATCTGACGTAGGAAATGCTTCAACTCCTTCAAGGACATTTTGTTGTCTGCATTCTTGTCAGCCTTGCGCATGCAATTATAGATCCAGCTTTTTGTCTGATGTAAGGACTGAATATTTCAGTTTTCTAGCTAGATCTTTTCTACTTATAAAAAAAAAAGCTTTATATCAATGCTTATTACACATTTTACACGTAGTACTTTTAGTGCAAAAAAGTATAAATTTGAATAACACTTTAAGGTGACAGTCACACATATTATTACATTATTATAATAATAACAACAGTAAATTATGTATAAAATTATATTATAAACTATAAGCAACCATCCTTAAACCGAAACCTAACCTTAACCTTATATTAAATACATGTCACTTTGAAATGATGTGTAACCTAAATATGTTAAATCGATGTTTTCCTTTAATTACAGCAGTGCTGACAAATGTGTTCAGAGAGCAGGCTCTGAGGAATGGATGTTCAGGATACTGTTCACTGTTCTGCTGTCGGTTGAGGCTGTGCATGCCAGTCATGACCTTCTCCAGACCGCTGACCCATCTCTTGGCCTCCTCTTTGGATGAGGCGATCAAGTCCAGATTCTTCCGTCGACCTTTGAAGATGATGGAGAAGCAGCGGTCATCCGCTGAGGAGTCAGTGTACTTCTGCAGCCCTTCAGTCTGACGGCCATACCGCACCGAATCCATGTCCTCGAGACTGACTGTAAAAGAGGCAAGAGATTTTTAATTATTACTCATTTTAGAGATTGAACTGACTGCATTCTGAACCTTTTGTGAATAAATCTGCCTTTCACAAGAAAACTGTTGGCGGATTGATGAGAGAAACATCTGAACAGTGATTTACAACAAAACAACAGCCTGAAGTCAAAGAGACACATTATTTCTAGGCTTGTTTGATATGCAGGTCTGTACATGCAGTGCTGCATTATTTAAAGAGTATATTTTGACTTCTAAAATCTTCCAAACCACCAAAAGACACAGAAGTGCAAGAGGGTCCATCCTTTTTAAAGATTTTAGGGATCAATATGTTATCTCTAAGAGGGTTGTTGTACGCAATTCAGTAATGAATCTGAAATTTTAATCGAGCAAACAGGAAACAGAATTGTAATTCCAATTTAAATTTAATTGAATAAAGCAGAATCCGCACTCACTTGTATGCTTCTTAATGATTTTTGGATATTTTTTTATTATACAAGAAGCACAAATGGATTTATGGATATGATCTATTTGTGCTTTTTGAATAATAAAAAATAAAAAAATCATTAAGAGGCATACAAGTGAGTGCGGATCCTGCTTTTTCATTTGAAGCCATTACGATTTTATACTGATCTACGCACCCGAAGTGTTGATTGAGCGCAGTGATTTCACTTTTTTTTACATTTAAATTTTGTTAAATAAAATGTTGAATTGACAGGAATTTACTGAATTAGAATAAACTGACCACAGTTGCAGAACTGTGCCATGAAATGTTATGAAATCAAAATTAGAGTTAAATGAATTAGTAAATTAAATTAATATATTTCAAGGTGGAAATAAGTGTTTCTCCATTAAAAATCTATCAAATTAATTAAATTGATCAAATATAATGAAAATATAAATGATACAATCTAATGATAAATTAACTATAAATTAAATACAAGGGGATTTGTACAAGGGAAATTTAAAAAAAAAAAAAAAAA